ACATGTTTCTATTACTGATGGTTTCTGAGTCAGGTTAGTGATGCTCCATCTCATGTTTCTATTACTGATGGTTTCTGAGTCAGGTTAGTGATGCTCCATCTTATGTTTCTATTACTGATGGTTTCTGAGTCAGGTTAGTGATGCTCCATCACATGTTTCTATTACTGATGGTTTCTGAGTCAGGTTAGTGATGCTCCATCTCATGTTTCTATTACTGATGGTTTCTGAGTCAGGTTAGTGATGCTCCATCTTATGTTTCTATTACTGATGGTTTCTGAGTCAGGTTAGTGATGCTCCATCTCATGTTTCTATTACTGATGGTTTCTGAGTCAGGTTAGTGATGCTCCATCTCATGTTTCTATTACTGATGGTTTCTGAGTCAGGTTAGTGATGCTCCATCTCATGTTTCTATTACTGATGGTTTCTGAGTCAGGTTAGTGATGCTCCATCACATGTTTCTATTACTGATGGTTTCTGAGTCAGGTTAATGATGCTCCATCTTATGTTTCTATTACTGATGGTTTCTGAGTCAGGTTAGTGATGCTCCATCTCATGTTTCTATTACTGATGGTTTCTGAGTCAGGTTAGTGATGCTCCATCTCATGTTTCTATTACTGATGGTTTCTGAGTCAGGTTAGTGATGCTCCATCTCATGTTTCTATTACTGATGGTTTCTGAGTCAGGTTAGTGATGCTCCATCTCATGTTTCTATTACTGATGGTTTCTGAGTCAGGTTAGTGATGCTCCATCTCATGTTTCTATTACTGATGGTTTCTGAGTCAGGTTAGTGATGCTCCATCACATGTTTCTATTATAGATGGTTTCTGAGTCAGGTTAGTGATGCTCCATCTCATGTTTCTATTACTGATGGTTTCTGAGTCAGGTTAGTGATGCTCCATCACATGTTTCTATTACTGATGGTTTCTGAGTCAGGTTAGTGATGCTCCATCTCATGTTTCTATTACTGATGGTTTCTGAGTCAGGTTAGTGATGCTCCATCACATGTTTCTATTACTGATGGTTTCTGAGTCAGGTTAGTGATGCTCCATCTCATGTTTCTATTACTGATGGTTTCTGAGTCAGGTTAGTGATGCTCCATCACATGTTTCTATTACTGATGGTTTCTGAGTCAGGTTAGTGATGCTCCATCTCATGTTTCTATTACTGATGGTTTCTGAGTCAGGTTAGTGATGCTCCATCTCATGTTTCTATTACTGATGGTTTCTGAGTCAGGTTAGTGATGCTCCATCACATGTTTCTATTACTGATGGTTTCTGAGTCAGGTTAGTGATGCTCCATCACATGTTTCTATTACTGATGGTTTCTGAGTCAGGTTAGTGATGCTCCATCTCATGTTTCTATTACTGATGGTTTCTGAGTCAGGTTAGTGATGCTCCATCACATGTTTCTATTACTGATGGTTTCTGAGTCAGGTTAATGATGCTCCATCTCATGTTTCTATTACTGATGGTTTCTGAGTCAGGTTAGTGATGCTCCATCACATGTTTCTATTACTGATGGTTTCTGAGTCAGGTTAGTGATGCTCCATCTCATGTTTCTATTACTGATGGTTTCTGAGTCAGGTTAGTGATGCTCCATCTCATGTTTCTATTACTGATGGTTTCTGAGTCAGGTTAGTGATGCTCCATCTCATGTTTCTATTACTGATGGTTTCTGAGTCAGGTTAGTGATGCTCCATCTCATGTTTCTATTACTGATGGTTTCTGAGTCAGGTTAGTGATGCTCCATCTCATGTTTCTATTACTGATGGTTTCTGAGTCAGGTTAGTCATGCTCCATCTCATGTTTCTATTACTGATGGTTTCTGAGTCAGGTTAGTCATGCTCCATCTCATGTTTCTATTACTGATGGTTTCTGAGTCAGGTTAGTGATGCTCCATCTCATGTTTCTATTACTGATGGTTTCTGAGTCAGGTTAGTGATGCTCCATCTCATGTTTCTATTACTGATGGTTTCTGAGTCAGGTTAGTGATGCTCCATCACATGTTTCTATTACTGATGGTTTCTGAGTCAGGTTAGTGATGCTCCATCTTATGTTTCTATTACTGATGGTTTCTGAGTCAGGTTAGTGATGCTCCATCTCATGTTTCTATTACTGATGGTTTCTGAGTCAGGTTAGTGATGCTCCATCTCATGTTTCTATTATAGATGGTTTCTGAGTCAGGTTAGTGATGCTCCATCTCATGTTTCTATTACTGATGGTTTCTGAGTCAGGTTAGTGATGCTCCATCTCATGTTTCTATTACTGATGGTTTCTGAGTCAGGTTAGTGATGCTCCATCTCATGTTTCTATTACTGATGGTTTCTGAGTCAGGTTAGTGATGCTCCATCTCATGTTTCTATTACTGATGGTTTCTGAGTCAGGTTAGTGATGCTCCATCTCATGTTTCTATTACTGATGGTTTCTGAGTCAGGTTAGTGATGCTCCATCTCATGTTTCTATTACTGATGGTTTCTGAGTCAGGTTAGTGATGCTCCATCACATGTTTCTATTACTGATGGTTTCTGAGTCAGGTTAGTGATGCTCCATCTCATGTTTCTATTACTGATGGTTTCTGAGTCAGGTTAGTGATGCTCCATCACATGTTCTATTACTGATGGTTTCTGAGTCAGGTTAGTGATGCTCCATCACATGTTTCTATTACTGATGGTTTCTGAGTCAGGTTAGTGATGCTCCATCTCATGTTTCTATTACTGATGGTTTCTGAGTCAGGTTAGTGATGCTCCATCTCATGTTTCTATTACTGATGGTTTCTGAGTCAGGTTAGTGATGCTCCATCTCATGTTTCTATTACTGATGGTTTCTGAGTCAGGTTAGTGATGCTCCATCTCATGTTTCTATTACAGGGTGAATCTGAAACTGAAGCTTGACTTTAAAGCAACCCAACGGAAGTTTCATGTAAGTTTAGTTCTTTCACTCGTAGCTCGGGCTGTGGGGGTGCTAGAGACGGGAGCACGTTGATACGACTTTCCTAGCCGGAGATATGGCCGCATTTTACAATAAACTTCCGTTGGGTCGCTTAAAAACAAATATCGCAAATCGAATCGCAATATCTGTCAGAAAAATTGCAATTAGATTATTTCCCCAAATCGTGCAGCCCTAGTTAATATAGAGAATATTAAACATGTTGGGAGGTGAGGAGGAGACTTTAAATGAAATAACATACACCCACACACACACACACACACACACACACACAGCTCATTGATGCTGTATTCACCGTGTGATCCCTCTCTCCTGAGGCCCACATTATTAACCTGATCACTCTCTCTCCCACACACACACACACGCACGCACACACACACACACACACACACACACACACACACACACACACACACACACACACACTCACACAAACAGAATGTGATCCTACAGCTACCATCATGCACCTGTGCACCTGTGGTTGTGTGTGTATAAAGAGTGTGTATAAAGTGTGTGTGTTGTGTGTCCTCTGCAGGGATCGCCGAGCGCTGCACGCCCGTGAAGTATCACTTCTCTCAGCCAATCAGACTGCGGAACATCCCTCTGAACCTGACCAGGAGCATCCAGCAGGACGAGTGGCACCTGCTGCGTGAGCACACACACACACACACACACACACACACACACACACACACACACACACACACACACACACACACACACACACACACACACACACACACACACACACACTCACACACATTCATTATGGTATGTATTTCTCTGTATTTTATATGGACTGATTGTAGTTGCACTGTTCAGGCTGCTTGTCATGTTGCCATGGAATCAAGCCATGGCAGCGCTGTGTAACAGCAGGAGGTGGTTACCACGGCAACACTGTGTGTGTGTCTCTATCTCTGAGAAATCCCTCTGTAGAAACCTGAGCTAAGCTAAAGGAGGCTAATGTTGGGCTATAAAGGAACTACAGCACGGTCACATGACTTCACCTCACCACCGCTAAGCTAAAGGAGGCTAATGTTGGGCTATAAAGGAACTACAGCACGGTCACATGACTTCACGTCACCACCGCTAAGCTAAAGGAGGCTAATGTTGGGCTATAAAGGAATTACAGCACGGTCACATGACTTCACGTCCCCACCGCTAAGCTAAAGGAGGCTAATGTTGGGCTATAAAGGAACTACAGCACGGTCACATGACTTCACGTCACCACCGCTAAGCTAAAGGAGGCTAATGTTGGGCTATAAAGGAACTACAGCACGGTCACATGACTTCACGTCACCACCGCTAAGCTAAAAGAGGCTAATGTTGGGCTATAAAGGAACTACAGCACGGTCACATGACTTCACGTCACCACCGCTAAGCTAAAGGTGGCTAATGTTGGGCTATAAAGGAACTACAGCACGGTCACATGACTTCACGTCACCACCGCTAAGCTAAAGGAGGCTAATGTTGGGCTATAAAGGAACTACAGCACGGTCACATGACTTCACGTCACCACCGCTAAGCTAAAGGTGGCTAATGTTGGGCTATAAAGGAACTACAGCACGGTCACATGACTTCACGTCAACACCGCTAAGCTAAAGGAGACTAATGTTGGGCTATAAAGGAACTACAGCACGGTCACATGACTTCACGTCACCACCGCTAAGCTAAAGGTGGCTAATGTTGGGCTATAAAGGAACTACAGCACGGTCACCTGACTTCACGTCACCACCGCTAAGCTAAAGGTGGCTAATGTTGGGCTATAAAGGAACTAGAGCACGGTCACATGACTTCACGTCACCACCGCTGATTGATTGATTGATTGAAAAGTTTATTAACAGCTTGTATATTGGGTACAGTACAGTACAGCTCAAAACATACAATTGTTAAGGGGATGCAGACCAGAGAAAGACTTTCGTCTTGTTTACATCAGGGTCCCCCATTTCCAATTCATCATATCATTTAAGACATATAAGACATATTTGACATACAGATGGCTTATTTACAATTTACATACAGGTGGTTTTTTACATACAGATGGCTTATTTACAATTTTCATTTTAGATTTCGTTCTAATACATCCTAACCGGACATTTAAGACATACCAAGTCTACAGATATACAGTTAGTAACAGAGTCTAAAATGCGAGTATATACATAGATGGGGGGGGGAAGCTGTCCATTGTACGACAGGTTGAGATTTGTACCATTACCGGGGCCAGTTTTGCAATGCTTTCCCCCGAAGGTGCTCTTTAAGAGAGGTTTTGAAGGTAAGTATAGTTTTACTTTCCTTTACAGTTGTGGGAAGAGCGTTCCACCTTGATGTGGCATAATTGCGAAACGTGTATTCCCCTTTTTTTGTGCCAAATCTGGGTTTTACATGATTTGTGGAGCTCCCTCTGGTGTTATGATCATGGTATTCCTTGACCTTTGGGAAGAATTTTGACATGTACATGGGTACCATAGAGGTGTAGTGGATCTTGTAGACCAGGCCCATTGCAAGTAGCTGTACTCTGTCGTCTACTCTAAGCCATCCTAGGTTGTCAAAGTGGGCAGAGGTGAGGTGGGTTCTAGATGAAAGGTCAAGCAGTAGTCTGACCAGTTTATTTTGCGATGTTTGAAGTTTTATTTTTAGCGCCTTGGAGGTGCTATGGTACCATGACGTGCAAGCATAGTCATAGTACCCTTGAATGAGTGCTCCTGCCAGAGTTTTCAGGGTGCTTTTGTTTACCAGAGAGGAGATCCGGTATAGGAATCTAGTTCTTTGATTGACTTTTTTTATTACATTGGATGCCATTTTGTCACAGGAGAGGTTTGCCTCAAGAATAGATCCTAGGTATGTAATTTCCTTCTTACTTGTGACAATAATGTCACCCACTGCAACTGAGAAGTCGTCGGATTTGCTGAGATTATGTTTCGAACCGAAGAGAATGGACTCTGTTTTACCCAGGTGTAATGATAATTTATTATCGGCGAGCCAGGTGCAGATTCTGCCGAGCTCGGAACTGAGGGTTTTTTCAACCTGCAATCTGCTCCTGTCAGAGACCAGCAGGGCTGAGTCGTCCGCGAACAGGAACAAGTTGCAGTCACATGCTGATGACATGTCATTTGCATAAATTAGGAACAGTAACGGACCTAATATGCTTCCTTGTGGAACACCACAGCTCACTGGGAGGGGGGGGGGGACAGAGTACCGTTTACCTCCACCATCTGTTCTCTCCCCTCCAGGTAGGATTGCATCCAGCTCACCGATAGTTTATCAAAACCAATTGCTTTTAGCTTGTCAATCAGAATGGGGTGATTGACAGTGTCGAAAGCCTTTTGTAGGTCCAGCATCACCATGCCGCAGTATTTACCCTCGTCCACCTCTTGTTTGATGTGGTCGTTCAAATAAAGAAGGCATGTGTCAGTGGAGTGGGATGTTCTAAAGCCAGATTGAAATTCATAGATTAGTTTCTTTTCTGCGAGGTACTTTTCGACCTGTTCATATACTATTTTTTCCATGACTTTCGAGATGGAGGTAAGTATAGAAACAGGGCGGTAGTTGCCTGGGTCCAATTTGCTGCCCTTTTTGTGCAGGGGGGTTACTCTTGCAATTTTGAAGTCTTTGGGTACTTTTCCCTGTTTTATGGAGAGGTTAATTATGTGAGCTATGACTGGTGAGATGGCGGTTGCTGTGTCTCTGAGGAATTTGGAGGGGATATTGTCGTGGCCAGTGGCCTTGTTAGGTTTGAGGGCGCTCAGTTTAATGAGTACCTCTGCTGTTGTTACCCTTGCTAGACTGAAATCATCTTTGCGTACCCCTAGGTTTTTGTAGTAGGTCATGATGTGATCTACTCCAAAAAGCCCTGAGTGGGAGGGTAATTTATTTACAAGAGTTGTGGCTATGTTTGTGAAAAAAATGTTCAAGTACTTGGCCACATCCAGTTTGTCTGTGATGAGCCTGTTATCTGTCTTTATGTTTACGTTTGAAAATCTCGTTTTGAGTTTTTTACTGCAGCCAAGCTGGTTATTGAGTAATTTCCAAAGTTCACGGGGTTTATTTTTGTTTTCCTCAGTTTTGTCATTGATGAAATTCTTTTTGGCAGTTTTGATCATGGAGCTTACGTCATTTCTTAGTCTGTTTCTTTCAATTTTTAGTTCAGTCACGTGGGCCTGGAGTTCACTGCTCGTGCTTTTGGAAAGCATTGACTGACTTTTATGAAACTCAGAGCATTTTTTGTCTCTGGTTTTCATGGCGGTCAGTATGCCGGAGTGCATCCACGGCTCAGCGCGATTTTTTACCCTGGTTGTTCTTAGGGGGGGCCAAATCATTGAGTATTGCAGAGAATTTGTTTTTGAAACCAAGCCATGTTTCTTCAACTTGTGTACCACTGAGCTCATCTGACCAGTCCAGGCTCTCCAGTTCTAGGTTAAAGGCCTCGCTAGAGTAGTTTTTGAGGTCTCTAGATATGACTGTTTTGTGACAGCCGGCCTTTTGTTTTAGCTTTTTGCGGGTACAGAATATCATATAATGATCACTTAAACCGCATGCTATAACCCCTTTACTGGAGATCCTGGACCTGTCAGAGGTCAGAATGAGATCAATGGTAGTTTGTGTTGTTTCACATACCCGGGTGGGTTGGGTGATTAGCTGGCTGAAGCCGTGCAGATCACAAATCCTACTGAAGGACTTGAAGACGGACGTGTCTTTACGTTGCATATCCGTGTTCCAGTCTCCAATAATAATTGTCTCTACATCCCCCACATCAGCCAAACACCCATCTAATGTATCATAAAAGTCACTCTGTTCCGGTGGTCTATAGATTGTCCCGACTATTACAGATTTAGCATTGTCAAAAAGAATTTCAACCCACACAGATTCAATATTTTCATGATGCAGGTCAGTACGGTTTTTGAAATTGGTGTCTTTATGTATGTACATGCAGACACCACCTCCATTCACGTTCCTGTCCCTTCTCACTACAAGATAATCTTCAATTTCAATCTCTGAATCTGTAATGGAATTGTCCAATTTGGTCTCAGAAAAGCATAATATGCTTGCCTTACCGTTCATGAACAGTTGCCTGAGTTCAGCCAGTTTGTGTCTCAGGCTGTTAGTGTTTAGATGAAAAATATGTAGTCCATTTTTGTTGTTTAAATGCATAATGTCGTCAGCTTGAAGATATTTGTCTTTGTCCGTTACAGCAAACGGCTTGCGGCCTGCCGTGGTGCTTGGAGCGGTGGGGTGGTGGGGGGAGGGAGGCTCCGTTGTAGCTTTAGCCGTCGATATGCTAGCAGGGTGGCTAACAACATGGTGGATATTTGTTCCCTCGGATCTCGGTTCTCTTCCTCTCGTCACTGCCTCATGCGTGTCTGTCTGCCGAGGCGTCCCCGGGGGAATGTCGAAGTCTCCGTTGATTCCTCGGTCTCCGCTGTCTCCATGGTCTCTGTTGTCGTCGCGTAGTTGTTGCTGTAGCGGAAGAGATGCTAGTTGTGATGCTAGTTGTGATGCTAGCTCCTCGAGCCTGCAGGAATGGCTTCTTGTCTGCACCGGGCCCGGATTCAGATGGATGTCTCCCGCTAACAATAAGACCAAGACGATCATACTTCTTCGGTCTAGTTTGCCTGACGGGGGTAAGTACTTTCGCGTCGGGTTTGCAGTTAA